GCTAACGATAGAAACTTCAGCTTAGAAACTCTCTACTGTGGCTAGTTTGCATTGAGGTTACTTCCCGCCCTCAGAGGCCGAAAAAGTATATTTTTCTTTCGTTTGACTAAACTGAATTTAACCTAACATTTACATCAAAATTTTTTTTAAATCTTCAAAATCACCTGAGTTATTTAGGAAAACGTACTTTCAAATAAAAGTTAATAAATCTGGAAGGTGTCATAATCCCCGACCTGGGCTAGTCCCCTAGGGGAATTTTCGAGGCAACCGCTCATCTTGGGGCTCTTTGCTTATGGAAAAATCTTTGCTCATGGAAAAATCAAAAGCGGAAGAAAGTCCTTAGTAAAAGAGAAAAAAAGTAAAAAAAAAAACAGGCCCAAAGTAGTAAAGAAATAGTACCATTCTGTCAAGAAAGAAAATCCTTTGTGAAAGCGATTGATACTGGCGGAGCGCCACGCTGGCGTCCACATTTCGAACAAAGAAGTCGTAGTCAAGTTAAAATTGGCCTTACCTAATGCAAAAAAAGATGTTTCTTTTTATTTATGCAAGTACCAGCTTTGATACAAATCGTAATTTTTAAAGGTGTCTGTCGATCCGTTGTCTTGCTCCTCAGCACATTTTCCGGTTTTTCCATTTTCGCCGCGGGCTTGCTTAGGGGTTGCCTTTGGCAACTTTACTTCTTACTGTGTTGTCCTCCTAAACGCTCCACTGAGCGATCGAGATAAAAAAAAAAAAAGTATCAGCAATGAGCTCCTTTTCCTGGGAAATCTTGATCCATCGTCACTGACGCCAGGAGGTTCCGTTGTCCCATTGGTTTGCCGTTTCAGGAGGCGAGATAATCTCCTGGCGTGGCGCGAGTTGTTTGCAAACCTCTATGAGCTAAAATCTCGCGTTTAATTTTGGACGGAATACAATCACTTTGAGAAAATCTATAGGGTATGTAAATTTAACCGATTCTCGTCAAACTTCGCCAAAAAATTCCAGGAATAATGTCACGCCTCGCACATTTTTAGCCGCTGCAACCTTAGATGCCGATATCTAGATAACCGATCAGAATATCGAAAAGAACCTGACACACCTTTTTGGACTGATGCCTTGTGAATAAGACTGTGAGGCCATTTTGCTCGTGCTGCAGCATCAATGATACGCGATAAATTAATAATAATGATGATGATAACGATTTATCTGCATGGAAGCTCTACATCCGTCATACAAACTAAAAACTAATGACTTACATAATATATATTTCACATATTGTTTTTCAAGAAAACATTCATTATTTACATAAAGCACATAAAGCACTTAGCCACTGGCGCGGCTAGCATGATCGCCAGTACTCTTTAAGTCGCACCTCTTCTGATCGCCCGTCGAGACCGGAAAATTGCTTCGCTTGGAGGTCCCAATGCTACCAGATCGCTCGTTCTAGATCCACTAGAAGTAATCTTTTTGGTAGATGACTGACAAATTCATTCGTTGACGAGTAAAGCAAGTGTGACATTTCTGTTATAAACCCTTTTTGTGATTTGGACAATCTTTCATGTCAAGGTCTTGTCCAAGATCCCGAAAACTATGAGCTTCGTATTGATTTTGCTGGTGACAGTTCTCGCTCTTCTTTGAGTTTTGTACCTCCCCTAATGGCTATTGTTCGGCTTGCCAGTCAGGTGTACCCTGAGGTGTTGGTGGTAATTCAAATGGTGACTCATCGAAGATTGCATTGAAGTTTACGTTTCTTGGCTGAATTTCTATTACGTTTGTTGTTAGTATTTGATATATATTTTGGTTACAGTTAAAGTGTGTATTTTGGAGGAGATTGTGTCGATTTATTTTGCATGCACCCCCGGTGTGCCATGTTTGGTTGAAGCCTGTGTAGCCCCTTGGTGGTGTTTGGCTGTATTGTAATAAAGCTCTTCGTTGGAGCTATACGTTTGTGCATTGTTTGGCTGCTTCCTGAGAAACGCAATGCGTGGGAATGCTTAGTTTATTTTATTGAAAGCGCTTATGTTGTTACATGTAATGTTCGGTCTGTTTGTTTTGCTTATGTTGAGGGCTCCCGGTTCCCGAATCCACACAGAATGGTGGAGTATATTTGATCTGCAATCTCCAGAGGTAGGAGTTTTGTTTGACAATTTTATCATCTCGTTGTTTTTCTCTCACGGAGACAATGTGATGTAGGACTGGAAAAAATGCACATCTTCGGTAGTGTTGAGAACATTCGACCTGTCGCTGAGAATATCTTGCTCTTTCTGTTTTATTCACCGTTAGTTTCTTGTTCAGAGTGCCTACACCGCAGATGACGTAACTATGTCTCGTTTACAATCCCAGTGAGTGTGACATCTCCGTTGTATTCTCATCGATTCGACTCAATTCAGATCTTAAATTCCCAGGTTCATGCTCTTTGTTTGCCTCCCCCTTTTGGTTTCTTTTTCTTTTTTATAGATTTGTCTAATAACGTCCTGTGGCATTGCCTTGGCGAGTTGGGTGATCTGTCACTGAGAAGTCTTTCGTTCAGACTAGACTCAACTGTCATTGCGTCAAGAGCGCCAGGTACCACCGAAGCCTACAGGAGAGCTTTTCGAGATCATAATAAGAGAGAGCCAGTTTCTCCAGACATGACAAAGAAGCTGGTTGAGAAATCCAACCTAAATAATTTACTTCAATGGTTAAATGTATGTGTTTTTATTATTGCTTGAGCTGGTTTCTTCCGAATTGAGGAGATTCTTCATCTTAAATATGGAGACATAAGTTTTCACAGAGACCACGTAACTATTAACGTTGACAGAAGTAAGACAGATTAACTTGGGAAAGAGCGCCAAGTCGTAATTTCAGCGAGCTCTACTATTGTTACCTGTCCAGTAAAAATTTTCAGGCGTTTTTAAGTGAGGTTGTAAGGTTTCCTGTCGAGGCAGGCCATTATGTCTTTAAAGCCTTCTAAAAGCTTAACTGATTAGGTCACAGACAAGTATCTGTTAGCAAGTGCGCAAAGTTCTTCATGTATAAGAGATTACTTAAGTCTAGCCTTACAAGGCTTGCCCCAGATATCTCTCTACTTAGCACACATTTCTTAAGAGCTGGTGATGCTTCTGCTGCGGCTGATGCTGGTGATCCAGACAGGCTTTTCCAGAGATATAGACGTTGGAATTCTGTGTCCACCAAAAATGGCTATGTCGACTACAGTTTGATTTCACGTTTGTCAGTGTTAAAAAGTTAGGTATTTAATTCTGTAATGTTTACTTTTAACTTGACATTTTGCCTTTCTTTTTCTCTATCAGGATACTTATACTTGAAGACTGACTGACTCGTCCTAAATGAACTTTTCACATTGAATTTTATCGTTTGAGTGCAGTCAGAATATGTAATTTCTGACGTTTGAGTGACATGGGAAAGAATTTGTCAGAAATTAATATTCTGATGGCAAGTTAGATGTTTCTTTTTACACCAAAGTCTTATTAATGTTCGTGTATCCAGCCTCTACACGTGATAGCAAGATTTTGTTCTCTCCTCCTGCTACACTGTTGTCATCATCACTCTGTTGTGCTTGTATTTTGAACATTACTCAGAAAAATTCCTTCAGATGCCTTAAAAATTGAATGCTGCAAAAGAGTTAATGATAGTATTGAGATAATGTAAAAATTACTGAATAGAGAGAAAACAATAACATTTATAACGAACCTACTATGTGTCACAAACAACCTGTCCTTCCCCTCCCTCCCCACTTACTCAATTAACGAGTGCTTTTCATTCAACTATTCTAGTTTTCTCGTCACCATATTCCCACCAATAGCGTAGCTCCATTTTCTGCATAAACCGTGTTTATTCAATTAGACGCCGCGGCCTTTATTAAATTTTTCGTGATTCGAGTGCAGCCTGTATTCGAGGGCGGCGTTTATTCAAAATCCAATTTATTTCTAGCAAACAATATTATGGCAACTGAACATCTGAATTTTAGAAAAAAAAACATCTTTTAGTGCTTGTCTAAAAAGTCATTTTTTATATCGTTCTCAACTTATTGCAATACGTATAAAATGAATAATAATCTCGTCTTGTGATAGGCATCATAAAACTGTCCCCCACTCCTGATCCACTTTAACGCAAGCAATTATTAATCGTTAAAATGAGAAGTGATATGGTAACTAAAAAAACACCAGACGAAAAAACCAAAACCTTGTGACGTAATCAGTGTAAGCTAAAGATAACTGTGTGTTGTTTTAGCGGCCACGAGCCGAGCGTGGGTCGAACCACAAACGCGCGAGGCGTATAGGGACTTTGCTACACAGCAGTGGTTACGGGGAGTTGAGGTATTCAAATGTTTAGACTATATTACTAGTGTAGTACAGATGCAAAATATGTGACTCCCAAGCACCAAAAAAAATAAATAAAAAGTGGAGCGTGAAGAATAATAATTTCTTGCATTAGAGAGGATCAGGAGTGGGGTACAGTTTCATGATTCCTATCATTTACACACAGTTATTTTTAGTTACCATATCACTTCTCATTTTAACGAATAACAACCTATCCAGAATACTATCAGTCAAAGATGGCTAAAGACCTTCTAAGATTATATTTAAACCAGACTTTTAATTGTCTGTTCTAGATGTAAGATTGAGGAAAGTAATTGTTATCTCTGTCAAGACTAAGTCGGGGAATTTTAAAGAGCAGGCGTGTTTGTGAGTCGTCTAGTCGGTTTTTTCTTTTTTTCAACACTTTTCAGGCAAGCAGAAGTGAGCGTTAGGTGAGCGCTATGGACGAAAAAAAAAGTCATTCCTACTCTATCGCGTGTTTTGAAGATCATTCTTCAGGGTGGCAATGTTTCTCTCAGAACGGAAATTTAACAATGCTCAGTGCATTGATCAGATTAGAAGGGAAATTTCCCTTGCTAAGGTGTGTTTGACCTGTAAACATCACGCGACATGAGAACAATGAACTCTTTCTTGCTTAGGCATTTAGCGTATTAAGGGTTTAAAATTTCCGTGTGGTATGAGTAACAAGTCATAACACCTCAACCAGTTTCTGGATAAATTTCGAGTCGCGGTCTCGCAGTTCGTTCAGTAATCATTAAGATAATCAGTTTGTGCGTCTGCCATCAAGATATTTCTCGCTCTAACTTGAATTTCGAGGAAGGTGAGTCACAGTTTTTTCAACTAAACCTTTTATTGTTCATTAGGAGAAAATACGCATTTATTTGCGTCGAAAGACGAAAAATTGCGTGTTCAATCAGGTTCCCTAACGATTTTTTTATTTTAATTAGCATTCAATAGCAATTTTGGGCATTCCTATGCATCAATCGTCCTACAAAAGGGAAAAAATATACTTTCATTTGCGCTAACCTTCGAGTCCTTAACGCCATCTTAGATGCCAGTGGAGACAATACACAAACAGTGTAGTGCAGAAACCATTCATTAATATTTTTATCACACTGTTTGCAATTCAACAGCATTCCTGGACGACATTTGTGTGAATAGGACAATCACTAAAGTGCTTGTACGAACAATTGAGTGGTTTTGTATTCAATATCCAAGCATCGATTTTCAATTGAAAACCTGTTTTGCCTGACTTTACAATGTCAGTTCAGTTCATTCGCTTCGTAAACGTCTTCTGGCCGCTGGCAAAATGTCACAAAGAAGCCAAATACCACTCGAACAAAATCGTACTTTCAATGTGCAAAAAAGAGGCCAAAGAGGACTCGCTAGGCGCTAAGGGTGATTATTTATAACTTTAAAGGTAGCTATCAACCGCAAAATACAAGAAAAGGTTCGTGTCATAGGTACTTTAAAGGGTAACTGACGGCAAAATTTCCCCCTTCTTTTGTCCCTATAAATTCCTCTTAGATTAAAGAGTCCTAAATGAGAAAATAAACGATATATTGTGCAAAACCAAATTTTCTACTGATTTTTTTTGACGCTTAATCAACGGCCATTTTGAAAACGTTCCGATCAAGGCCGCGTGAAATGATATTCCCTCGATGTCCAGCCGCTACCGAACAGAAAAAGAAAAGATTTTATTCCATATTGGTACCAGCCACCATTTAGAGACTGAAATACAAAGTGAAGAATAAAATATTCTTCTCTAAAAAGGTTGAATTATCGAAACGCGACGGATCGCGTATCTGTATTTAGAGCCACAGATAAATTGCATGCCATGCCAAACAGTGGTAAAAAAATTTATATTATTTTTTGCTCTTGACCATTATCGAGTCTGTTACTTAAAGAAATATTTTTTAGTCCAAGCCGAAAAGCATTTAACTGAAGATTTTGTCCGGTGTACATCACTGTGACCACAAGCCCATCGGTTCTGAGGTGAGCGTGACATAAACACAAAGTATTGTCACGAATTTCGGGAGGTTTTGATCTGGCTTCGTGAACGAAGCTCTTCTTCCACGCTGCGGAAATGTACAAGATGGATTCTTTCTTTATATTTTTTTAACAGCGACCAGCGAGCAGCACAAAGAAAGACTTTTTGGTATTGTAACTTTTTGTCTACTTCTTCCGACGTGTTTCGTCACTAGCTCAGACTTCTGCAGGGACGATTACAACTAACATTAAACAGCATATGTAGCACATACGTGTCCCTAAGTATGACTTCCAAGGTCTTGTTATAAGCGCCATAAGCGAGCGTTGTTTCGCATTTGCGACCGGAAAACATGATGAAATAAATCTTGTGTGCAAGGTTACTCGTTTCAAAAAAGTACTAGTGTCAGCTGAGTGAACAGTAAGTTACTCAAGCGCGCTTATCGTAAATTAACAAGCCGACAGGCAAATGTGGTGAGACTGCCTAGCACCCACAGTATAAAACGCAGTGTCTTGGTTAAAAAAAAAAGAAAACAACCGATTCAGTGGCACAATCGTGCAACGGAAATAACAAGCACGTAATGTTTCTCAAATTACGACCTGAACTTTAAAAGAGAAAAAAAATACATATATATATACATTCACGCAAAATTTATCCAAAACTTTACCACTCTTAGCCGCATTGACATTTACAGTGTGAACGGAAAACCAGGCCTGCAGCTGTTCCTCGGTAAAAGCCTTTAAACTTTTATTTTCCACTGCAACTATTTCTTGACTTTCCTCCCTCTGCATTGATTGCTAGTAGTTTCCACACTGACACCTTGTAATAAAAGAATCAGTACAGTACAAATTTTTATCACGATGTTGAATTAAGAAGAAATAGAGAACACAAGTTGTGTGATTGATTTCACCAAAATGAACAGTTATCAGCGCTGTCACTGTCACAAACGTTAGAGATAATTCAAAATCTAGGCTATTAACAAGGTACAAAGACCACAAAAAGGGCAGTATTCCGAAAAAGTTACTTTTCGCTGTCAGTTACCGTTTAAAGAGGATCAAGAGTGGGGTACAGTTATATTTAGTTACCATATCATTTCTCATCTTAAAGAATAATAACCAATCCAGAATGCTATCAGTCACAGATGGCCACAGACCGGCCTTTTCAGATTATATTTAAACCAAGCTTTCAATTGTCTTCTCTAGATCTGATGTAAGGTTAAGGAAAGTAATTGTTATTTTTGTCAGGACTAAGTCTGGGAATTTTGTAGGGCATGCAGGCGTGTTTTTTCAGTCGTCTGGTCTCTATTTTTTGTGTGTGCATCTTTTAAGCAAGCACAAGTAAGCGTTAGGTGAGCGCTATGGACGAAAAAGAAGTCGTTTCTGCTCTATCGCGTGAAAAGCATCATTCAGAGTGGCCATGTTTATTGCAAAACGGAAATTGAACAATGCTGAGTGTATTGTCCAGATTAAAAGGGAAATTTCCCTTGCTAAGGCGTGTTTGACCTGTAAACATCACGCCACATTTCTCGAGAACCATGAACTCTCGAGAGTGGCGTTTAAATCGAGTAAATACGGCAAACACACACACAACCCACAATTTCTCCAGTCGCTCTGACGAAGGGCTAACGCTCGAAGCGTCAGCTTTGAAACTATTGATGGTGGCCAATTTACGTTATCAACTCAGTTAATAAGACTAAAAGACCATATAAAAGTCAAATTGACCATATAAGATGTCCCATTATTTGACAGTGCTCATTCAGAGTACATTTACAACAGACATAGGGTAAAATTTGGACTGGACTATTTTTTGGACTATTTTTTTGGACCATTTTTTGGACCATTTTAAAGGGGGGAGCACACCATTAGTATTGAGGGAGGGGTGGGATGAAGTCTATCAGTGCTGAGGGAAGGGGGAGGGACACAGAGTGTTATTTCCCAGGGAGGGGCGAGAGACGGACTATTACTACGCAGGGAGGGGTGGGAGGTGGTTGTAATAGTAAACACTACTGGTTTAATTGGTTTTTCATATTTTACCCTATGCCTTTACAACAAGATAAGACATTTTGTTGAGAGGTGATCAGTCATATTATGCATTTGGCTAAAGTTTGGAATAAAAAAATCCTTAAAGTCTAAGCTGCACTGCTAAGGTGAAATATTTACACAGGCAGCAATCTTTATGTACCAGGCCTTATAATTACTCCTAGATCCACTGATGTGAAGAGGAAAAAAAGAAGTAGTAGAAGTAGAAGACTTTGAAAATGTTCTTAAACAGATAGTTGTACATGTTTAGAGTTGCACTTAAGTTAATGAGACTCATTTTAGTCTTGTGATAGGCATCGTAAAACTGTGCCCCACTCCTGATCCACTTTAGCGCAAGCAATTATTATTCTTTAAAATGAGAAGTGATCTGGTAACTAAAAAAACTAGAAGAAAGAAATCCAAACCTTATGACCTCGTCAGTTTTAACTAAAATAACTGTGTGTTTTTGTAGCGAGCACGAGCCGAACGTGGTCCAACCAGAAACGCGCAAGGCGTGGAGGGACTTGGCTACACAGCAGTGGTTACGAGGAGTTGAGGTAATCAAATGTTTAGACTATATTACTAATGTTGTACAGATGCAAAATATGTGACTCCCAAGCACCAAAAAAAAAAGTGGAGCGTGAAGAATAATAATTGCTTGCATTAAAGAGGATCAAGAGTGGGGTACAGTTTCATGATGCCTATCATTTGCACACAGTTATTTTTAGTTACCATATCACTTGTCATTTTAACGAATAATAACCAATCCATGATATTATCAGTCGCAGATGGCTACAGACCTTTTCATATTATATTTAACCAGGCTTTTAATTGTCAGCTCTATATGAGGGAATTAATTGTTATTTCTGTCAAGACTAAGTCTGGGAATTTTCAGGAGCATGCGTGTTTGTGAGATGTCCAGTCTGTTTTTCTTTATGTTTTGTTTTGTCTTTTTTTTTTTTGCATCTTTCAAGCAAGCAGAAGTAAACGTTAGGTGAGCGCTATGGACAAAAGAGAAGTCGTTCTTGCTCTATCGCGTGTTTTAAAGAGCGTTGTTCAGGGTGGCCATGTTTATTTCAGAACGGAATTGAACAATACTTAGCGTATCGACCAGATTAAAAGGGAAATTTCCCTTGCTAAGGTGTGTTTGACCTGTAAATATCACGCCACATTAAAACAATTAACTCTTCATTGCATAGGCGTTTAGCATATTTAAGGTTTAAAATTTCCATGTGGTATGAATAACAAGTCATAACACGTCAAACAGTCTGCGGAGAAATTTCGCAGTTCGTCCACTAATCAACAAGATAATCAGTTTATGCGTCTGCCATCATGATGTTTCTCGCTCTTACTTGAATTTCAAGGTAGGTAAAGAACAGTTTTTATCAACTACACCTTTTGTTGTTCATTATGAGAAAATATGCACTCATTTGCGTCAAAAGCCGAACTATTGCGTGAAGTTACATTCACCAGCGACAAAAAACGATTTAGAACGATTTCTGTATTTTGATCAGCATTCAATAGCAATTTTGGACATTCTTAGGCGTCAAATGTCCTACAAAAGAGAAAAATACATTTTCACTTCCGCTAACCTTCAAGTTATAAACGCCATCTTGAATGCCAATGGAGACAATATACAAACATGATGATGCAGGAACCATTCATTAATATTTTTACCACACTGTTTGCAATTCAACAGCATTCCCGGACGACATTACTGTGAATAGGACAATCACTAAAGCGCTTGTACGAACAACTGAGTGGTTTTGTATTCAATATGCAAGTATTGATTTTCAATTGAAAACCTGTTTTGCCTGACTTTACAATGTCAGTAAATCTTTTCGCAGATTTTCTCACTACGTTAGAAGGAAACTCTGCACACGCTGGTTCTACAGACTTGGACTGTATACTTTCGGTTAACTTGACTTTATTCTTCACAATCCAACATTACACGTTCTGTCTTTCGACCTAACTCAATCCCATCTTTTTTGAGTTACAAAAGTGCTATGTTTTATTAGCTACGGATACACACACCCAGATACGTAAGTCCAGAGTGGTAAGATAATTTAAGCTAACTTGACAAAGTTCCAGTTTTGTTTTACACATTCTTCAATGATTCGTGGCCACTAATTTCCTGTTACATCGGCTTGCTCGACAATCATAGTGTTAATCTCCGCATGCCGTTTTACTAGCGACTATTTGATTAAATACATCATTGTTTAATTTGTGAAGGCTCGATCACGCGATGCCGGTTAATACTTCCTTTGACATTCCACAAATTGATGTTAGCGACAAGAAATAGTAGCTTACTTAATCCACTACTAAATATATCGAAACAGGAAAACTTTCCTATGAGCACGTGCAAACTTTTCACGACACTCAGTTAATAAGACTGAAAGAGCATATAAAAGTCAAATTGACCATATAAATAATAAAAAGTTAATCATATAAAAAGTCGAACTGATCACATAAGATGTCGCATTATTTGACGGTGCTCATTCAGATAACATACCTGTGGGCAGAGTACATTTACAACTGGATAAGACATTCTGTTGGGAAGTGATCAGTCATATTATGCATTTGGTTAAAGTTTGGAATAAAAAATTTCTCAAAGTCTAGGCTGTACTGCTGAGGTGAAATATTTATACAGACAGCAATCTTTATGTACCAGGCCTTATTATTACCCCTAAATTCACTGGGGTAAAAAGAAAAAAAATAAGTCGTAGTGTAACATTTATAAGTAAAAATAAATTTGGCAAAGACTATGAAAATAGTCTTAAACAGATAGTTGTGTTGAGTATAGGTTTCACTGTTTTTATTGAGGTTCTTGAGAGTTGCATTTAAGTTAATGAGATTGATTTTGGGCTTGTGATAGGCATCATGAAATTTCCCCCCACTCCTGATCCACTTTAGCGCAAGAAATTATTATTCTTTAAAATGAGAAGTGATCTGGTACCTAAAACATACTAGAAGAAAAAAATCCAAACCTTGTGACCTCATCAGTTTTAACTAAAAATAACTGTGTTTTTCTAGCGAGCACGAGCCGAGCGTGGGTCGAACCAGAAACGTGCGAAGCGTGGAAGGACTTAGCTACATAGCAGTGCTTACAGGGAGTTGAGGTAATCAAATGTTACTTATTACTAATGTTGTACAGATGCAAAATATGTGACTCCCAAGCACCAAAAAAACAACAACAAAAAAAAGTGGAGCGTGAAGAATAATAATTGCTTGCATTAAAGAGGATCAAGAGTGGGGTACAGTTTCATGATTCCTATCATTTACACACAGTTATTTTGTATTCAATATGCAAGTATCGATTTTCAATTGAAAACCTGTTTTGCCTGACTTTACAATGTCAGTAAATTTCGTTCAGTTCATTCGCTTCGTGAACGTCTTCTGGCCGCTAACAAAATGCCACAAAGAAGCCAAATACCACTCGAACAAAAGCGTACTTTCAATGCGCAAAAAAGTGGCCAAAGAAGACTCGGTAGGCGCTGAGGTTGACCATTCCTAACTTTAAATGCAGCTATCAACCGGAAAATACAAGAAAAGGTTCGTGTCATAGGTACTTTCAAGGGTAACTGACGGCAAAATTTCCCCTTTTTTTGTCCCTATAAATTCCTCTTAGATTAAAGAACCCTAAATGAGCAAATAAACGATATATTGGAAAAATCAAATTTTCTACTGATTTTTTTTGCCGCTCAGTCAACGGTCATTTTGAAAACGTTCCGATCAAGGTCGCGTGAAATGATACGCCCTCGATGTCCAGCTACTACCGAACGAAAAAGAAAAGATTTTATTCCATTTTGGTACAAGCCAACATTAAGAGACTTAAATACAAAGTGAAGAACAACATACTCTTCTCTAAAAAGGTTGAATTATCGAAACGCGACGGATCGCGTATCCGTATTCAGAGCCACAGATAAATTGCATGCCATGCAAACAGCGGTAAAAAAAATTATATTATTTTTTGCTCTTGACCATTATCGAGTCTGTTACTTAAAGAAATATTTTTTAGTCCAAGCCGAAAAGCATTTAACTTAAGATTTTGTCCGGTGTATATCACTGTGACCACAGGCCCATCGGTTCTGGGGTGAGCGTGACATAAGCACAAAGTGTTGTCACGAATTTCGGGAGGTTTTGATCTGGCTTCGTGAACGAAACTGTTCTTCCACGCTCCGGAAATGTACAAGATTGATTCTTTCTTTAACTTTTTTTAACGGAGACCAGCGAACAGCACAAAGAAAGACTTTTTGGTATTGTAACTTTTTGTCTATTTTTTCCGACGCGTTTCGTCTCTAGCTGAGACTTCTGCAGGGACGATTACAACTAATATTAAACAGCATATGTAGCACATACGTGTCCCTAAGTATGACTTCCAAGGTCTTGTCATAAGCGCCATACTCGAGCGTTGTTCCGCATTTGCCACCGGAAAACATGATGAAAAAAATCATGTCTGAAATGTTTGAAATGTTACTCGTTTCAAAAAAGTACTAGTGTCAGCCGAGTGAACAGTAAATTACTCAGGTGCGCTTATCGTAAACAAAACAAGCCGACAGCCTGAGAGAGGCGTGAAAAGCATCATTCACAGAGTGGCCATGTTTATTTGAAAACAGTAATTGAACAATGCCGAGTGTATTGTCCAGCTTAAAAGGGAAATTTCCCTCACAAAGGCATGTTTGACCTGTGAACTCTCGAGAGCGAGGTTTAAATCAAGTAAATACGGCAAACACACAGACAACCCACAATTTCTCCAGTCGCTCTGACGAAGGGCTAACGCTCGAGGTGTCAGCTTGGAAACTATTGATGGTGGCCAGTTTACGTTATCAACCCAGTTAATAAGACTAAAAGACCATATAGAAGTCAAATTGACCATATAAATAATAAACGTTTGATCATATAAGAAGTCGAACTGATCATATAAGATGTCGCATTATTTGACAGTGCTCATTCAGATAATATACCTGTAGGCAGATTACATTTACAACTGGTTAAGACATTTTGTTAAGAAGTGATCAGTCATATTATGCATTTAGTTAAAGTTTGGAATAAAAAATTTCTTAAAGTCTGGGCTGCACTACTAAGGTGAAATATTTATACAGACAGCAATCTTTATGTACCAGGCCTTATTATTAGCCCTAAATTCACTGGGGTAAAAAGAAAAATAATAAGTCGTAGTGTAACATTTATATGTACAAATGAATTTGGCAACGACTATGAAAATAGTCTTAAACAGATAGTTGTGTTGAGTACAGGTTTCACTGTTTTTATGGAGTTTCTTGAGAGTTGCATTTAAGTTAATGAGATTGATTTTGGTCTTGTGATAGGCATCATGAAACTTTCCCCCACTCCTGATCCACTTTAGCGCAATAAATTATTATTCTTTAAAATGAGAAGTGATCTGGTAACTAAAACATACTAGAAGAAAAAAATCCAAACCTTGTGACCTCATCAGTTTTAACTAAAAATAACTGTGTTTTTCTAGCGAGCACGAGCCGAGCGTGGGTCGAACCAGAAACGTGCGAAGCGTGGAAGGACTTAGCTACATAGCAGTGCTTACAAGGAGTTGAGGTAATCAAATGTTACTTATTACTAATGTTGTACAGACGCAAAATATGTGACTCCCAAGCACCAAAAAAACAACAACAACAAAAAGTGGAGCGTGAAGAATTATAATTGCTTGTATTAAAGAGGATCAAGAGTGGGATATAGTTTCATGATTCCTATCATTTACACACAGTTATTTTTAGTTACCATATCACTTCTCATTTTAACGAATAATAACCAAACCAGAATGCTATCAGTCAAACATGGCTACGGACCTTTTCATGTTATATTTAAACCAGGCTTTTAATTTTCTACTCTAGATGTAAGATTGTGGAAAGTAATTGTTATTTCTGTCAAGACTAAGTCGGGGAATTTGAAAGAGAAGGTGTGTTAGTGAGTTGTCTATTCTGTTTGTTTTGTTTTTTTTTTAAACATCTCTCCCTTGTTAAGGTGTGTTTGACTTGTCAACATCACGGGACATGAGAACAATGAACTCTTCATTGCCTGGGCATTTAGCAAATTAAGGGTTTAAAGTTTCCGTGTGGTATGAATAACATGTCATAACACCTCAACCAGTCTCCGGATAAATTTCAAGCTGCAGTCTCGCAGTTCGTCCAATAATCATTCAGATAATCAGTTTGTACGTCTGCCATCATGATATTTCTCGCTCTAACTTAAATTTTAAGCTAGCTGAATAACAGTTTTTTCAACTAAATCTTTTGTTGTTCATTATGAGAAAATACGCATTCATTTGCGTGGAAAGACGAACTATTGCGTGAAGTTACATTCATTAGCGACAAAAAAAAAATCAAGTTCAATAACGATTTTTGCATTTTAATCAGCATTCCATAACAATTTTGGACATTCGTATGCGTCAATCGTCATACAAAAGAGAAAATATATTTTCATTTCCGCTAACCTTCGAGTCACTAACGTCATCTTAAATGCCAAGGGAGACAATACACAAACATTATAATGCAGAAATCATTCATTAATATTTTTACCACACTGTTTGCAAGTCAACAGCATTCCTGGACGGCATTAGTGTGAATGGGACAATAATTAAAGGGCTTGCACGAACAATTGAGTAGTTTTTGCATTCAATATGCAAGTATCGATTTTCAACTGAAAATCTGTTTAGCCTAACTTTATAATGTCAATAAATTTTGTTCAGTTCATTCGCTTCGTGAACGTCTTCTGGCTGCTAACAAAATGCCACAAAGAAGCCAAATACCACTCGAACAAAATCGTACTTTCAATGCGCAAAAAAGTGGCCAAAGAGGTCTCGCTAGGCGCTAAGGTTGATTATTTTTAACTTTTTATGTAACTATCAAACGGAAAATGCAAAAAAGAGTTCGTGTCATAGGTACTTTAAAGGGTAACCGACGGTAAATTTTCTTCCTTTTTATTTGTCCCTTTAAATTCCTCTCAGATTAAAGAACCCTAAACGAGCAAATAAACGATATATTGTGCAAAACCAAATTTTTTACTGATTTTTTTTGACGCTTAATCAATGGCCATTTTGAAAACGTTTCGATCAAGGTCGCGTGATGTGATACGTTGTACGTGTGTAAGGCAGTGAAAAGGTTATGTTAAGACGTGAATGTAACAACTTCGCCCTCGATGTCCAGCTGCTACCGAACAGAAAAAGAAAAGATTTTGGTACAAGCCACCACTTAGAGACTATGAAATACGAAGTGAGAAATAAAACGCTTTCTCTAAAAAGGTTGAATTATCGAAACGCGGCGGATCCCCCATCTGTATTCAGAGCTACAGGTAAATTGCATGCCATGTGCCACGCCAAACAGCAGTTAAAAAAAGTATATATTATTTTTTCCTCTTGACCATTACCGAGTCTGTTACTTAAAGAAACATTTTTTAAGTCCAAGCCGAGAAGCATTTAACTTAATATTTTGTCTGGTGTATATCACTGTGACCTCAAGCCCATCGGTTCTGGAGTGAGCGTGACATAAGCGCAAGGTGTTGTCACGAATTTCGGGAGGTTTTGATCCGGTTTCGTGGACGGAACTCTTTTTCCACGTCCCGGAAATGTAAAAGATTGGTTCTTTCTTTATCTTTTTTTAACGGAGACCAGCGAGCATGCAATGGTATTGCAACTTTTTGTCTTTTTTTTCCGACGCGTTTCGTCTCTAGCTGAGACTTCTGCAGGGACGATTAAACTAACATTGAACAGCAAATAAAGCACATTCGTGTCCCTAAGTATGATACAAGCGATACGAACGCTTTCAAACGTGTATAACGTTGAAAAGTGCTTTAAAAAGTGAATCCGTCTAATGCACCTCCACCAGCATGTATGTTTATATTTTCACAGTCTGCGACTGAAAATAAGCTTCGGATGGTGTGTGCGTTTAATTATGTTAGTTACGATATCACTTCTCATCTTAAAGGATGATAACCAATTCAAAATGCCGCTCAGTCACAGATAGCTACAAAACTTCTCAGATTTTTCTGTTATATACAGAGTTGCAGTCTCGCAGTTCGTCCAATAATCATTGAGCTAATCAGTTTGTGCGTATATCGATCTACAGTCGGTTGACAGTCGACTGA